TCGATGAAAGTTTGTATTGGACAACAGAACGGCATTCTATCGAGAATGTCAATATAGATCACAGTGACGTTAATATATGGCCATAGTAACTTGGTGGACACATACATACATTATCAAAACTATCATTTTCACTTCGAAGATAAATAGTAAGTCCACGATTACAATACCATGGCCATATATGTCAATATCAAAATCAACGTATTAGCCTTACATTGCACTTGAGCTCAGTTGATCGACATGCTACGTATGCTATTATTATTATGTTAATCGATGATAATGATGAACAACAAGAGATTACTGCATACGATCAATTTGTATACATCACAAAGGACAGTTGCAGTACTAAATTCGATCGATATTTATTATTTTCCACACGACCAAAAGACTTATCCAAGAACTATAGCATACGTATTGATGCATTCGAAAAAAACAGCATAACGTATGTTGGAAGTTGGCACTTTCCCATTACATTTCTCTTTTTACCTGTCAATCGATTAGCAATTTCGTTGATTTTATCAAATCATATTATTCAAATTTCGTCCAATTGTTTAATTACTTGCAACAATGGTACTTGTGTAAAGTATTTAAATAAAGAAAAATATTTCTGTCGATGCCACTCACAATGGACAGGCATTCAGTGCAATATCCCGATAAGTCGTCAAATGTGTTCAAACGATTCATTTTATTTAGGATCAGTAAACGATGAATTAATATGCGTATGTCCATTACATAAGTTTGGCTCACAATGTATGTTCACATCAGCATGTCCAACTAATATTTGTCAAAATAATGGAACATGTATACCAGCTGATGTAACTACTCCTGACAGCAGTTATACATGTGTTTGCCCTGATCAATTTTTTGGTGTAAATTGTCAATATGCTAAGGTGAAACTCGATGTTTTTCTTATTGATATGCATATTCCATCGTATATTGCGGCTTATTTTTTCACACTCTCCAATAAGTCTGACCCGATGCAGGCAATTATACTCCGAAAATTGACACTATTTCAACACACCGCTACTTTCCACGTTTCAGTACCATTTCATATGGCAATTATTCAATCAAGTGGCAAATATTACCTTGCTGTACTTCAACAAACTTTACATACAAATATCACAACATCGATTCGCCCTTCACAGGAGTGTATTCCTGCCGAACAACTATTGAATTCCACAGTAATGAAAATGGTTCAGTATCGACGGATAATATTCTTCCATATTCTTTGTCACACACATACTGATCTTATGTGTTTCATTGATCCAGCCTATTTATGTTTGTGCACCAGTGATCGTCACGCTAACTGTATGGAATTCAAACGTGATAGAAATTTTCAATGTTCATTGACAAAAAATTGTGCAAATGGAGCACAATGTGTACAAGATCATCCGGTTTGTCCATCTACAAGGATTTGCATATGTCCCGCCTGTTTCTTTGGCGAGGAATGTCAATTTTATACCAAAGGTCTCGGCTCAACATTAGATGAAATATTGGGTTATGAATTAAAACGGAATACAATTTTATCTAAACAACCAATCACAGTAAAAGTGAGTGCTGCTATTACAATGATAATATTTGCCGTAGGACTCATCAATTGTATTTTATCAATAATGGTATGTCGTAGGCCAGCATCACAAAAAGTTGGTTGTGGAATATATCTTTTAGTTGCCTCATTTAATTCTATAACGATCATGATCTTATTTACACTTAAATTTTGGCTACTTTTTTTCTCGTATCAATTGGTTCACGAACATCGTACTTTACAAGTCATTCTTTTCGCAAATTGTCGAGTTGTTGAACCTCTTTTAAAAGTATTATTAAACATAGATAAATGGCTGAATGCTTGTGTATCTATCGAACGAATCGTTTCTGTACATCAAGGAATTAGTTTTAATACGGAGAAAAGTAAAACAATTGCCAGATATGCAGTGATAGTAGTATTTCTTA